AAAAGCTTTTAAAAGCAGGAAAGGAGAGAAAAAGAATAAAAGGGCAGGATCTGGAAAAAAGGGAGGAGACTGCCTGGAATTAAAAGGAATTTACAGTAAAACCTCAAGACTTTTAAAAGATACATTTTAACTGAAACTTGGCAACAAAATAGTAGAACCCCAGGAAGAGAAAATGAAAAAAGAAGCATGAAGAAACAGCTTGGGAGTATTTGGATTATTTGGTGATCTCTGAATTTTTGGTTATTGCATTTGAATGACTAAAATCAATCGGGTAGTTGTTTAAAAGTGTTTAAAATGGCACTACTTTTAGAAGAACTGAAAATGGAACTTAAAAAGTACAAAGAAGATGCACAAGAAGGGAGAGGTTCTTTTGGCTTCATATTTCAATTCTTAGAAATGGAGATCTGGAACTATGAGAAACAAGAAATGCCTGCAGAACAAGAAGATTGGGACAAAGAAGAAGCCATCTTTAATGAACAAGTAATTTTATGTGGGGAAAAAAAGGAAAGGGGGGAAAGAGAATGAAAAGTTTAAGATTTGAAAAAACAACCAAGAAAAAGAATAGAGTGAAAAATAAGTATATTAGAAAGCAACAGAAGAGGGGAATATAGAAGAGAGAATTAGAAGTAGAGAGACAAGGGGGTAAAAAGGGGAGGGAGAAGAAGAGAGGGAAGAAGGAAAGGAAAAGAAGTTATAAAGGGCAGAAACAAGATATGGAGAAACGGCCTATTTAGAGATAATGGGTGAAAATTTAATTGAAAAAGGGATTCTGCAAAGGTACATAAGACAGTATTGTTATATTAGAAATAGAAATAATTTTAGAAAATATGAAACAATATATGATTAAAATGATGGATAAAATAGTTATTGTAATCTACTGAAATGTTTGTTAATAAATAAAGGAAATAAAACGAATGAGAGAATTGAATTAGGAAAGGATGGGAACATTTTAATTATTTAATGCTTTATAAAATATAAGGGAAGAGAAATAGGGGAAAAAATTAATTACAGAAAGCTTATAAATGTTCCCAAGGAAGTATGATATTTAATTGAAAAGAAATGTTAAAGATGTTAAGATTTTAATGAATATTGATAGAACTGAATTGGAATGGAACGAGTGTTTTAATTACATATATTTATAATCACTTTTTAAGAATATAGTGTGTATTTTAAGAATGTACCAAGCAGAATTCCATTGGAAGTTATGTATTATATTGAATGTTATAACCTCAAGGTATATATTGAAGCTTAAGTAAGAGTTGAATGGATAAAATTAAAAGATATAAAATACTCCAATTAGTAACTACAGGAGAACATTTGTTTAATGAGAAAAGAAAATATGAAATTGAAACAGGACAGACAAAAGTATAAATATAATGATTTGAATAGAGATAATTAAAATAAAATTGAAAAAATTAAGAGAGTAGAAAATGTAAAACAGTAATAACATATGGAATAGAACATAAAAGTGAGCATGAAATTGAGTTTGTGTCTGTATGAAGAAGTGTAACCCAGGACCATGCTATTTTCAAAAAAAGGATGTTTTATTTGTATTATGTTTTTTTTGTGAAAACCCAAATAAAATTAAAAAAAAAGATTGATGGAATAGCATTTTAATTGGTGGGTTAAACAATGTAAGCTTTAACTGCTGATTTTAAAAAGGCCTCAGACAACTCAGGAGGTTTCAACAGATTCCTTTCATAATTTTCCTACTTCTCAATGGAGGCCTAATTTAGATTAACCCATATTAACCTAGCATCCAAAAATAGTTACCCTGGATAAATCCTTGGAAGTATCAGTTCTCTCCATAGTACTTGTTTAGTACTTGAAATAGGTCCCTCTTAAAGATGCCCACATTTTATAAGTGTTTATTGAAAAAGCAGGAATTTTGCATCCTACTTAGGGGTGGGATTCACCCAGTGTTACTACTGGTTTGGTGATTATGTTTTGCTGTGTGCACATGTAAATTAATCGTAGGCTGTGCCTCCCAGACAGCTGAAAAGTGCTGCAAGCAGGTGCGCAGCATTAGAAAAGCCTCTTTTCCCCTGCTTTTTCAACCTTAGCTGTGCCGCACAAATAAAGGAAATAAAGGACAGTTAAGAGCCTGGGCAAACAGTGGGCCAAACAGCAGCAAACACAGAATCAGTTCTGTGTCCGCTGCTCTTCAGAGCTATGGTTCTATAGAGCCGGACAGAACTGGTAGCATCCCACCCCTGATCCTACTCCATTCAAAAATGAAGTTATCAGTAACATAATGACCTGGAACATTTAAAAAGAGGTCTTATTAGCTGCTACCAAGGTTCTCTGGTAACACAGAAATGCTGGATATTGATTTATGGGCTGGGTGATTTGCCCTGCATGTTCAACATTCTTGAAAACATCCTTATAGCAAACTTAGGAGAATGTTCTTTCGGAATCAGGTCTCAAAAGTAGTGAATCAGACTATAAAACATGGGGAATATATTTAAATAAATTTTGTATAACATTTTGTTTTTTACAGCCTACCTGAAATACACACTCAATATACAAAATTTGTTTCTTCATTTTCAGTGCTGTCCTATCTTCAATATTTATGTCAGCTATGAGGAATCTATTTTTATAACCTGCCCAATATCAAATGATCTCCTATCACTAATGATTTCATTTTGTTGACCGCAGCTAAAAACTGTTCTATAATTTGTACAGTATGCCAATTTTTCTTAAATCTTTCAGAATTTTATGTTCTTTATCTTGTAGTTGTTGTCCTATTTGATGGCCTATAATCAGAAAAAATATTATTTTGTATATAAGTTTGTCTCCAGGGATTCTCTCCCTAAATGTAAAAGTAAAGTATTAGAATAGAATCCTAAAACATGACCTGATCACCTCAAGCTGATAAATGAATACATTATAGAAATGTGGATTATGATCTCTGTTGAAATCTACCAGATTATTTACTATTTCCTTTTCAAAAGTTATGTATTTTTTGAAAGTGATGATAGTGGTTGTTTTAGCAGAACTGCTTACCAACCTGTTACTTTCTAAAACTATCCATAAGCAAGCAATAGAAATCAGTCTATTTACTATTATGGCTTATTGTTTTTTAAGCATCGTTTTGTAGGAGGCTAAAATATTGTAAAGATAAATAAAAGAGGTCATTATCGCATATTTAAAAACTGATAAAATAGTTGTATTGGAAAAAATCTTATTGAAACCTAGACCAAAACAGTGAGGGAGAGAAAGATGAGGTTAAAATCAGTCTTCTCTTTTGTAACTTAGAGAACATCACAAATACATTTTCAGCTCTGAGTTAATATATTCTCTGCTCTTGGAATCTTTAATATAGGCAAGAACACAATCTCAACTGCATCTGAAGATAGCAGGAGATGAAGGGGAAGCAGTGCTTGCTGCTGACAAGTCTTGCTCCAGGAAGCACTTTCCTCTACTGAATCATTACACACTGCTCTGTTGTGGCTGACTTGTACATTGTACTAGGCCATACTTTATTTTATTCTGTTTGATTACCACGTTGGGTGAAAAAGTTAAGATGGCAAATGCAAAATGATCATGGACACTATGCTTTCATACACATCCTCCCTTGCAGACACTCCTGGCTGATTAAATGAGCTGAGCTCACCTAATTCGTAACCCTGCCTCCTTGCTATAAATAATAGTTGGGTTCACACATTATTGTATGCTCAAAGAAGCACAGGGAATTCTCTTAGTGACCAAAAGTAAGTGATTTTAGGGCAGTCATTCTTAGTTCAGCTTTATCAGAGTGTCTAGGGAGATTCTCAGTCATCCAGGTCATAAATATCCCAAAGGTTCTTTTTCAAAAGGCAACTGGATTTTGTTTTTCCTTGAAGACACTTTGCTTCTCATCCAACTGAAGAAGCAGCTTCTTAGATGAGAAGTGAAACATCTTCCAAGAAAAACAAAGTAAAAGTGCCTTTTGAAAACACACCTTTCAGTCATCACAGAATGGTTGCTAACCATTGGAGAAAAGTGCCTATGGAGATTCTCAGTCATCCAGGTCAAGGTTGTCCCAAAGGTGCTTTTTCAAGAGGCAACTGGACTTTCTGGTTTTTCTTTGAAGATGTTTCACTTTTTCTCTTCTCATCCAAGAAGCTTCTTCAGCTCTGAAATGTGAAGCAAAACATCTTCAAAGGAAAACTAGGAAGTCCAGTTGCCTCTTGAAAAAGGACCATTGGGACATTGGAGAAAATAATGCTAAATATGGGGATTTTTTAAAAAGGAGAGTAGAAAAATCAAACTTGATTCTTGATGACAATATGACCATTTATATGGTTTTATTTAAACAATATGAAAATGCTTTGTTATCATTTTTAAAAAACTTTTTTTCCCTACAGATTCTGTAAATCGCTTTATTTAAAAAAACAAAACAAAAAAAGCCAGACACAACTCCTTGTTGTAGCCTGCTACAGACCTAAGACTTTTCATCTGAAGCTTCCAAGTCGCAGGAAGATCAGGTAGCAGGTGTGATTATCTATTGAATCTCCTGGAGAAAAGGTAAATTATACTTCCAAAGAATAAATAAAAACCCGTTACCATCTACCGCTAAGGGGGAATTTGCTTTCTGCCGGGTAGATTTCAATACAAGGGTGCGGCGGGGGACTGAAATACTATGCTTCTTTTCACCTTCCGCTATCAAAATGTCTCGGTCCAGCCATCCTGCAACAGGCCTATGGAACGGAATCCGCCTGCGGCGAGGCTTTAATCCAACCCGCCAGCGGACAAGCAGCCCAGGCAATTCCCGTTTGATCCGCTGTTGTTTCTCTTGCGCTCCGAGCGGGCCTCCTCCAGACTCCTCCTCCTGCAGGTGAATTAGTCCAAAGCCGCCTCCGGCTTTCGCGGTTGCTAACAATGCATTGTCGCCGCTGCCGCCGCCGCTCCTGCGCATTGGAGAAAAGGGGAGCAATACAACTAGGAGGAGGAGGAGGAGGCGGAGGGAGGGAAAGAGGAAAAAAAAAGAGAGAGGGAGAGAGAGGGAGACAGAGAGAAAGGAAAAAAAAGAGAGAAAGAGAGCGAGAGCGGATCTATTCCCTCCTCCTGCCTCTGCAGCAGCAGCATTTAACAGCCGTCGGTCAGTGTGCACTCAGCGCCGCTTAGCCGCAGAAGCAGCTCCCCTTTTCCCGGCTGTCTTCGGTCCTTTCGCCCCCCCGAGATCGGAAGGAAAGGCCGGACGAGCCCGGCTGCTTGCCACGGGACGCGAAGGCTGTCAAGCGGTCTTGCTGCTCTCTTCTTGGAGAGGTGAGGCTGGGCGACCGGGAGCGACGAACAGACTTTTCCCTGGGGGTGGGGGGGGAGGAGGGGGGGAAGCTCGCCTTTTCAGCCTCGTGGAAACGGAGGAACGGCTTTCCGACAGAGCGGAGAGGGAGGCAGGAGCTCCGTATAAAAGGAGGCCTGGCGGCCGAGCGGCTGCCGCAGCCCCCCAAACGCCGTCATTGCCCCGCCGCCGCATAAGAGAAAAGTCTACTTAGTTCCCTGATTATTAAGCGGGCCGGAGGGAGGGGAGGGGGGGAAATCGACAAACTTGCCCCTCAACCAATAACGGAAGGTTTTGCCTCGGTTGCCGGGGCAACCTTCAACGGAGCCTGTGGGATACGTCGCCCTGCTTCAGCCCTTCAGTTCGTTTCACAACTGAATTCAGATCCCCCCTCCCATTTTTTTTGGCATTGCAGCATTTCTTGGAAGGGTTGTTGGGGCGAGGGGGATGGTGGTCTAGGGATGGACGTCCGGGATGGGGGCCCTTTGGGTGTCTCTTGAGTTGGCATGAATGCTGCTTTTTGTTCATCGAATACCAAATGGCAAGTCTTAGAGCTTTGGAGAAGTTGTCCCCTTAAGAGTGGGGCGGTTTGCCCAGTTGAGTGGGGAGCAAGATGCGCTTGCAGGCTGCACCTTTCCCCGTACAAGTGTTAAATTTTGCCCCTGACTGTTTCCATCATGTCAGCAATCTCCCCCTGACCTTCCTGGTCGAAAGGAAGCCAAAAACAAAAACAAAAAACCCACCTTGCATTTCTGGAGAAATGAGAATTAAGAGAAATGAGAATTAAGAGAAGGGTTTACAAGCTGGGATTGCCAGGACTTGAAGTTGTGGTTTGCTGCTTTTGAGGAAGATCTAAGGTGTGATTTGTGGTCTCAGGCCAAGTGAGGGGAAAGGAGGTGCCCTTGTTCAAGATGTCTTTCACATCGTTGCCATCTGGAAATGCAGATGCTGTAGGAAATGCAGATACTGTAGAGTGGTGGTTCTCAATCTTTTCTTTACGGTAACATGGACCTTTTGAGGCCACAGGATCATGGCCATAGACCACCAAGACTTAACTCGAGATTTCAATCATAACATTTCTTCAAGACTTTGTGTACCCCCAGGGGGCTGAGAACCACTGCTTTAGAGTTTTTCATGTAAAAAGCCATATGATAACTTAAGCTACTAGCTACATCCAACCAGTTTGAAAAACAGGCTTGATTTGGCTGTAAATGGAGAGGAATCAAATCCATAAAGTATCCTATTCTTAAAAACTACTTTGTTCTTTCCCCCCTTGTGTGATTCTGGGCCCACTTGTATATAATTCTTGGGCTGCTTCTTTTATATCCAACACAGATCATATCCAGATATTCTGTACTTTCAGATCATGTTCTTAAAATCTGTATGAGTGTGGGAGTTTCCCCCTTTTTTCTTTTCCATTTGCCCTTTTCAAAACTTTTATTGTATTTTTCCCCCTAAAGCTTCCCCTGCCTCTCCCTCGAACATTGATTGATTTGTGATGTACTTGGATGAGGAAACATTAATACATTAGTCTAAAGTGCAGTTGGCTAATTTGTGTCTGAGTGTGTTGTGAATTGAAGCAAGAGAGTTAATTCGATAGAGCTTGGTTTTGTTAATATGTGCAAAGTCTCTGGGAAGTTAATACATATTGACAACTTCTCTTGTTTTGAGTGGTATTTATTTATAACGAGCTTTGGTGTAGGAAGTTGGGAGATAACATTTCTTGCAGATCTAGAACTGGGCTTTAGGTCTTGGGTTGCTGACACCAGATAGAGATTTACTACTGCTGCTGCTTTTATACAATACATTATAGTACTGTACTGTACAGCGGTCATCTCCTGGAGATTATGAAAGTTTTCTACAAAAAATGAGTGAGTTGGGGAAAATGTTTACACTTCTGTTTTTGAAGAGTGCAGTGCAGAAAATCTGCTGGAAAATTTAACAATCACTTATGCAATCCTAAACAGTTCTTTGACTTGGGTCCAATTGTTATTATCATGTAAGTTATGGAAGCTTTTCAGGCAGAAAGTATAAATACTAGAAGTAAATATATACAGAAATAGACAAAGGAGGGCAGTTTTGCATCCAGCTAAAATTCTGTCTAATCCAACATTCTGTTTCTAAAGTAAGCCAGCCAAATATCATCTGGAAACATTACAAGGGGGACAAATAAGAACTCCTCTGGATTAATGCTCATCAGCCTTTATCCTGAGAGCCCTGTTGTACTGGAGAAAATGTATGGCCATCACGATTAGTAGCTATTAATAACTTATTCTCTATGGATAAGCCTAATAATCTTTTAAAGCTATTCAGCTTTGGCATTGGAATAGTAAATTCCATGCCTTAAGCAAGCAGTGTATAAAGGAGTCCTTTCTTTTATTTATCCTGATTTGAAAAGATTGTTATGGATCTTCTGTTCATTTGCTTTCTTCACAAAATGCCTGATTTCAATGCTGCTTGTTGCTTCTCCATAAATCATATTTAGTTTTTGTTAGTAGCTAGTAGTGGAATATGGTTGTATGGTATTTTGAAATTTGGAATGATGTGGATGCATAAAGGTCCAACATTATGGAATAGATGTGGGTTTTGTGAAAGAAACATAACAGGAATGGAGGTTATGGCAAGTTAGCATAAACTTTTGCTTTTGGTATTTTTGGTATTCCCTTTGGTATTTTCAGATTTTGTCCTCGGGGAGAATTGACCCAACATTTCTACCACTTGTTTTATTTTGGGAAATATAGGCTAAGGAGCAAAATGGGTACCTAGAGCCTTGTGGATTTTACTCCTTACAATTCCAAGCACCTCTCCCCAAAATTTGGGCCTCAGACCCTTTACTTTCACAGCTGGTTCATCCTCAACAGGATTCACAAACTCTTGGCAAGGTCTTTAAGCCAACAGAAGTTATAAATCTGGTATTCCTTCGGGTCTATTGTTTATGCAGTTTAAGCTTATTGAGGAGATAGAGGAGTTAAGATAGCAATTCTTTGCCACTTTATCGTTGTAATTTCTAGATAAAAGTTATCTTGTAAATAAATCCAGAAAATTGATTACTGACTAGTACTGGTTTGGAAAGGCTGACTATTTACCTGTTGCTAGACTCATAAAAGAAAGTGGCCTATTATTAGCTGTCTACCTTTTTGTTTCCATGCCTGTCATGGAATAATACATTTCCAGTTTCCCTACGACAATATGAAATCACATAGGTGTTTGGGCAGGGATATAATCAACTCACTCACTCCTGTCAGCCTGCTTATTTACCCATATGGAATTAATGGGACCCATACATTGCCAGTGAAGCTGTTCATTTCAAGGTAAATGAAATATCTGACCTTTCCAAACTGTGTTTTGCTTTGCATTGAGAGCCATCAGCCTCTAATGTGAATGACACCTTGGCAATATGCAGAAGGGAATGAACAAGGAACAAAAATGAAAGATAGGTACAGTACTTCCTTCCAATGATGATTATATATACTTTCATTAAGTATGCCAGCAAGTGCAGAGCACATTTTCATTCTATTTCCAATTTGATGAGAAATTCCTGGAGAAAAATAGATGATAATCATCTAGGAGCAGTCCTCTTCCAAGGATTAGAGTCACTGAAAAAATGTGTTGCAGCCTCATTGTGGTATTCCGCCTCTAAAGAACACCATGATTGGTATTCAAATCTGTTGAGCTTCTTTTGCCTCTTAGTGAATCACTTGCAGTAATTTTAAGTGCTAAAGCCAGACCAAAATCCTGGGTCAAATTTCTGCTCTACTGTATTTAGTTGTTTTGTGTACTGAAATACAACCTCAACCTTTTTGTTTTTGTTTTGATATTTATTTTGCTTTTATTTACAAAAATGAAGCAATTGGGTTTTTTAAATTGGGCTACAGTATTTTGGAAAAGATTTGAAGTGGTTTCTGTCAAGATAATAAGAATCCTGAAGGAGGATTCTAGGAATTGAGAGGGCCATACCTTGATTTTCCTCTCTCATTACAGAAAGCCAGTAAGACTTGATAGGAAATATTTTCATATGTTCATATTAGTAGTCTAATAGTATTGGTTGGATACTATCTTTTCTAAATTTTACCCTAATTAGTCTTTATAGAGATATATTTGGCAAGGATAGGAATTAAATATATCTTATCCATAAGATATCCTAATCCTAATTTATCGTAATGTCATGACCCTGATATCAGCAAGAGGTTCATAAGTGATGATTTGGTGTTTCTGCCTGAAAGCAGCACATATTTTTGACTGATTCTTTCTGTTGCTTATTTTATTATTGATTGAGTTTAGCCTTATTAATATTTCTAGTTGCTCTTTTTCTAACTGTTAAATATAGTGTATATCGAAAAATTAGAGGATTAAAAATCACACAGTGTAACAGTAATAAACAATATATATTTTAATCTAATTTACCAATGAACAAAGGTAGATACCAAATTTTAACATTCCCTAATGCTCTCTCCAAAGGCCATTTTTTATAATCAAAATTGTTACTTGAAAGTTAGGAAGGTATGGAACAATAATGTTTCAATTCTGATTTAGCATTATATACAAAATAATATAGAAATGATCCTGCTACCCAATTTGGTTTCCACATTTGAAAACTCTTTGTGTCTGTAATCTGTTATACATATTTCTGTATTTCTGAAAATTATACTGGAATTGCTCATGTTTTATAGGAATTCCTAACATTTGCAAGTACAGTTAATATCCTTATTACCTCTGAAACATTTTCAATTATGGCCTGCTTCGTATGGAATCAATGTGGATACACTCTTTACTGATATGTGCAACAGTAAACATATACTTTCTATATAAACCAGAATAAACAGAAGGGATTCTGATAATATTAAACGACAAGCATTATACACTGTGACATAAGAATCTAGCCTATATGATTGGTGCACTTTACAATAAAATGCACTTATTTTAGTATTATATTAGTTCCAGCCTCCTTAATTTTTTTTCCTGTTATTTTGCCCTGTATTACTTTAATGAATAGCATAATTCAAGAAAAGGATAATAAAACCAATGTTTTAACATTATGTATTTTTTCTTTCCCAAATAATAGAAATATTTTTATAGTCTTAATATACTGTAGCTCTAAATGATTTTGAAACTCTGGATTTTTTAATGTATTGCTTCACGGGTTTTTCTGTTATTTCGTAGAATTGTAGCTTTAATCTGGTCATAATGTTCTTCCTGGAGTGGAATGTGCTTTTCAAGTCAGCATCCTCTTTCCAAGTCATTGTTGCTCACTGCTGTGCAATAGATCAAAGCAGCTGGAATCAAATTTCCTATTCAGCAATGGCTACATTTATTAAGGCAATAATTGCTGGTTCAAGTGATGCTACCAATAGTAAACATGAGAATGTAACCCTGAAAATATTATCTCTGTAAATGTCCCAGGTTTTTAAAAAGCCAGCATGTAGGACAAAATGCTTGTTTTCAGAGAGAAATGGTTGGTCTCTGTTTTCTTGTATAATATTTTAGTAGAATATTCTAACCAATAAAATCTAAAGCTGCTCTGGAGTAATGGATGGAGAACCATAAAATTATTGAATAAATGGATAGAGTAGCCATGTTTCCAGGCAACCAGTTTGGTGGAAGAAAAAAATCAAGGTCATACAAGCTTCTTTATACTGTTTCAAGTGAGTCTTCTGAACCATTTAACTTAAGGCTGCCTTTGTTCAAGAAATTTTCCATAGTTTGTAGCAGGAATTTTTCTAACCCCATCTGGAGAAGCTATAGATTACATGGAAAGTGGATGATCTCTTCCTTTGCTGTGAGTCTTCAGTAACAACATTGCTCTTCTTTTTGCCAACTCCAATTAGAGAGGGATTTACACCTGTAGTAAATATTGAAGCGTGATACAAATAGCAGCATACATTATACTCATAAGGGTGGATACAAAAGTTGAATACTACCCCATGATGAAGCCAGTAGTATAATTTGCCCTCTGAAATTGTTTATGATCTTATATTAAATTTGTACGTCATCCTTCAGATATATCTAACAAATTCAGATTATTTTTTGAAAACAGCTAAGTAGTTGCTGAACCTCTTATCATATGGTGTACCCAAATTTAAAATAAAGTTTCCTTCAGTCCAGCTAGTGAATATTTCACTTAAGTTTCCATGTCGTTTTCTTGATTTTGACTGTTTGCAACATTCTCTGTTTTGGGACTCTTGAGTTAGCCTACTAAGAGCCGTGGTGGTGCAGTAGTTAGAATGTGGTACTGCGGGTTTCTTCTGCTGATTGCTGGCTGCCAGCAATTTGGCAGTTCAAGTCTCACCAGCTCAAGGTTGACTCAGCTTTCCATCCTTTGAGATCGGTACATGAGGACCCAGATTGTTGGGGGGAATATGCTGACTCTGTAAACTGCTTAGTAAGGGCTGTAAAACACTGTGAAGCGGTATGGAAGTCTAAGTGCTATTGCTACTAGCCTGGTTTAACCTGCCAGTTACCAAGTATGACCCTGTTTAAATTCCTTAGCCCAGACAATATCAGCCGTGCTCTTAGCTCTTGTCTTCTTATCCACAAATGGCTTGATTTCTACTCAGTTTGAGTCATCTATTTTCTTCAAATACCATTTTCCTTGAAATATCTAAATATTGTTTCATGTTCAGCTATTAACATGAAAGACTTTTGAGGCTTTGTAAACCCATCAATATATTGCGCTACATCTATATGAGAACTGAAAGATTAACATCAATAAAATGTGTAAATTTGCCCTGTTAAAGAGTTGTACTAGAAAAATTGGAGTCAGTTTTTGTAGTCAGTTTTTGTAATGTATCTCCTGCATTTATGGCAATGTGATCCTATTCTGGACCATTTGTATTTTCTGCATTCGTTTTTTTAAATACACTTTATTGATTTTACAATTAAAATAGACCAACAACACATACATAAATATAAGGGAGAAAAGGAAAATTAAAAAAAAGAATAGAAAGAAAAAGATAGAAAACAATTAAAAACATTTTCATGTATTTTCTGAATTCTCATAGAGTTAACAAAATATGTGATGTTCATTGTGTTCATCATGAGGGAGAAGATGATATAGGATAGATTTTGAAAGATATTTTTACCGTGCAGTAAATGAGTGCTGAATTATGCCTGGAATCTGTGCATGGAATTTCCAGAGAGGATATTTTCTTTGATGTAGAAAGATACGTGTTCTGGAATGTGCACAAATAAGATTGCATTACCTTCACATGAAGTGAACCTTTAAAATAACATGTGCAGATGTGTACTTTGATTAGTAAGAGTCATGGGGGAACAATTAGTGGTAAACTTGCATCATCCTGCTCTGCTTCTATTTCACATTCTTGTTGTCTTGGCAGATGGGATACAAGTATCAATCAATGAAAAACCTCTTTAATTGTATTTCCACTGCTGCTTGAACTTTTCATGCTGAAATAACAGGGTTAAGATATGAAGTGGAATGGGCGTGGAGTTAATGAAACTCAAGGGACTGGTTTTTGGTGTAGAAATTAAAACAATGCTAAACGTTTCTATAATATTTGTATTGTTACTTTGTAAGATATTCTTAATCAGTCATGAAACTCAATGTTGTAGTGTAAGCCTCACAACTTTTTGTGCCCCGGAAAGAAATCAAGAATGGATTGTCTGAAGTAGTTTGTGGGAGCTTCAGCAGAAAAGATGCATTTAAGATATGGCTCAAAATATGTATATAGTGCTGAACAGGTTTAGATTTTTGGATTTTAATTAAAGAGAAGTAAACAGTTCTTAGAGTCCAGGATTTTGTCTTGCAAAAACATATTCTTTTAGCTTGCTACTTGACCCCTATATGACAACTGGGAAATAAACGACTTTCTACATACAATTTTTATATTCAATTTGCAGATTCAAAAAAGTATACCTGTAACTTGATACTAAATATTGGCAGATAGTATCTCCTGTTGGGCATTGATACCAGCATTAACTATTCAGCATGCATTTTAGCCTAATTACTTTTTGTAGTGATTTGCAGTATTCCCTGCAAGGGAGAGAACAGAAAGTCATCTTAATTCTAACCCTATTTTTTTTTCTTTTCAGTTGGAATGTGTAGTGCATTTCTGTAAATTATTAAGAAGCAAGGGATTCCAAACAGTAAAGCTGAAGGATGCCATCTGAAGTGTGCCTCAGGTATAGTTCACAGTATTTTCCTCAGCCAATTTTCATTTTATATGTATTCATGTTACCCAAAGGATGACAGTACCAACCTCTGCACGCAGCATAACCCATCAAGATTACCCTGTCAACAAAGGTTTGTTTCTGTAATGGTGATAGGCTCCCTTGAATTTTCATGATAACTTTTTTCTCTTGATGCAAAAAATGTTTGCTCTTTTTACAGGTTTGTCAGCTCATTTACATGTTGTGCATTCCAGCCTAAAATAAGAACTTGTAAATCCTGGAGGGAGAGAGAAAAGGAAGAGAATAGCATTGTGGTGATCCTCATAGATCAGTCCTTAAAATTATTTTTTTAAAAAAACATATATAAGCTAAAGTAGAAAGAATTATAAGATTTTTTTGCTCCTCCCAATTTGATTCAACTACGGTAATACAAATAAATTTTCCCCAGCTGATTGGATTATTTGTGTTGTTTATGTATTACATATATGATTCTAATTATGCATAGTAAAAAGGTGATGTGAATTTTGAATTCTGCCCCTCTTGAGGTCTAAATATGTGCCCCAAATGCTAGAACAAGTGGTTTAGCACAGGAAATTGTCTTGAATTTAAATTTTTGGGACATTTTAGGTATGTAATTTTAATAAATTATGATTATGCTTAAATATATATTATGGTTCACTGCATTGACATTTAACATAAGTCAGTAGGCAAAAGAGCAACTTCATTTAAAAGCAAATTCTAAAATTAATTTTGGTATAGAGTTGTGTTCCCTAATTTGTTTGTCTTTCCTTTAGTTGTATTGAGACTTTAAACCCAGAATTCCAGCTGAATTATCACTAACACATTTTATTTAAAGATGAAAACTTTTGTGAACTTTAGCTCACTTTATCCGAGCTGCAGTTCATGAAAAAACATGCTTTGTAATGATTATTTTTAAAGTTGGCAAGCTGTCCCCAGATTAACTTTTTGCTTCCATCATTTTTCTCCTTCAAAATCCCAGCCAGTATTCCCAAGGGCTACAGTGCCTGGGAATTCTGGGAGACACAGGTATAGACTTAACATTGCCAAAGAATATCAGTATCAGAACACGGTAGAAATGGCTGACCCTAAGAAATGCAAAATGCATTTCTAGTATTACTGTCCCTTTATTCTGTAGTTCATTATTCTTTGTGATTTGTTAAGAAGTGTTTTTCTAGTTGTATGTTTATTTTTGTTGCAGCAAAAAGTGTTGACAGGAACTGGTAGTGATACATAAATTATCTGAAGAAACCAATGCTATATTTAGTAAGATGTTTCAGTACTTCAGTACTGCCACTTTGCCCTCTCAAAAAGTGCATTATATAAAGTTGAACATTTCCAGAATGTTGGAAAGAATGGTATCTATTACCATCTTTAGTGGCAATGATAATTTAATTACTTATATTCAGCGAAATTAGCAGAAATTATTCACAAACATGCTATTGGTTGCCATTGTACAATTCTTACACAACATAAGAATGGCAGTTCAATTAATGTGAGTCTGGGAATGATAATTTATGTATGGGCATACTGTGTCTGTTTAGAATAGCATTATTTGCTGTAGAAGAATGAGATCTATTTTTGTGTAATGGACTACAGTAATATTTCTGACAGACTATAATATTACATATCTGCTGATTCTGTGCAGAAATAGAAACAAATACTTTATTTTTAATTGCCAGAAATAATAATAATATTGATAGTAATAAATGAAGCTGAAAGATTATGGCATAAACAGATTGTGATGGTCCCAGTGGTTATTAACACAGTGCCAAATCCCAAAAAGTTTTATATGGCAAAATCTGCATTGATAAAATTTCCCTCTGTCAGTTACAAAAGCTCACAATATTTGGATCCGCACATACATAGCACCAGGGGTGGGATTCAACCAGTGTTACTACTGGGTCAGTACTTATGTTTTGTGCAAAGCAGCTGAGGTTGAAAAAGCAGGAAATAAAGATCAAGTAAGAGCTCAGGCCCAGTTCTGTGACTGCTGCTCTTTAGAGCTACCAGTTCTACAGAGCCGAGCAGAACTGGTAGCATCCCACCCTGTATAGCACCAATAAATTATGGCATCCTAGGTTATTGGGAAGAATTTGATATATATAAAGGCCATCACCAGATAATTAAGTGGCAGCTGTGATTTCACCTGTAATAATAATAATAATAATAATAATAATAATAATAAATAATAATAATAATAAACCATCTACTCTAGGCCCTTGGGAAGGGCTTGATAAGTGGACAGAAATATCAAATCCAATCAAAACATCTGATTGACAATGCCTCCAGCCATAATATTGAATTCCTGCCCAATTTCACTTTACAGTGAATTCTCAGATACTTTTTCCTCTGAAAAAATATTGTACATATACAGATATAAATAGATTATATATGTGGTAATTAAAAATCAGATAAGTTAAAGCACATATTTCATAGACTTTATTTTGATTCTTATGGTCCTAATTACTGTTTCCTCTTTTGCAGTATTCAAGATATGCTGACTGGTCAGAGACTTTGCCAATCCAGTTCTCACAATGATACAGTCCTGGCAGCTCTGAATCAACAAAGAAATGATGGGATACTCTGTGATATAACTCTAATTGCTGAAGAACAGAAATTCCCTGCTCACAAGGCTGTGCTAGCAGCATGCAGTGACTATTTCAGAGTAAGTTAACTTATGTTTGTATAGTTATGTTTTTATGTAATTGTATTCTTCGAGATTATTCTGATAAATGTAAATTCCTTTTTCTTTTAAATTTTGGACATGGTAGTGATAATCCACTCAAACATTTCAGTGTGAAAAATTTACTTTTAAAGTATTGTCGTGCACATTTCTGGGAGTGTATGTATTGTACATATATAGATTCTGTGCTGTGCATCTAATCCTTGGAAGGGAAGACTAGCACAAGACTCTCTTTCTACATGGAAAATATGTACATATAGTTCTCAACTTATGGACATTCATTTAAAACCATTCAAAATTATGATGGCACTGAAAAAAAGAGACTTATGACCAATCCTTGTACCTTCACAGAGTCCCTGTGTCAGCCTTCAAGATATCTTCTACATCTTTTCTATGGCTATGCTTCTTTCTCACTGCTCTCCATCTTTCGGCTGTCATTAGTAACGGGGGGAGGGGGGGATTGGAGGGGAAGAAAGCTGGAGGTGTTACATTCCTGTGCTATAAAGGAGAAGGAGGGGGGGAGTATAAATTCCTGTTCTTAAGTTTCTATTTCCTTGCCTAGTTTTTCTTTCCTTTGCGCAGCTGCGAAGTTTTATCAAAATATGTCAAGGTTAACGGACAGGGGCCTCATCACCACCTGAAGATGCCCACACGATCATATTCAGAATGTTTAATTGGAAGAGTCTTTTGGACTTTGGGGGGTGGGAACAATTCCATCCCTTTGTATATGTGATCTGCGCGCCAAATTCTTTAGATTCAGAATTTTACCTGTAGCTTCCACTTTGAATTTCAGTAAAAGGAAAAACTTTGCTCTAATCATTGGAGTCTGAGTATTTCTTTCTTGAATTTCGAATGGAGCACAGGCTGACACCCTGGGTCACATGATCAAAAGTCAGGTGCTTGGCAACCGGCATATGTTTACAACAGTTGTAGTGTCACAATGTCACTTGCGTGTCAGTTATGACTTTCCCAAAGACTTCTGACAAATGTGATTAATGACCATGGTGATTTGCTTAATGATTGTGACAAAAAGGTAATAAAACTAAGTATAACTCACTTAATAACCATCTTATTTAGTAACTGTAGTACTGGTCACAATTGAGGTTGTAAGTTAAGGACTTTCTGTATAGTTGAACTAGATTTTTCTGTGCTCATAAATAAATGCAGCTCAACTCTTGGAGATCATTTCAAATTAACTGCGTAATTGTATCACACCAGATTAGTCCAATGATATTATTTTTCACAATTTTCTATTATTATTATCATTATCATCATTATTATTAATATTAATGTTATTGAGTTTAAAGTTTGCTTTTTGATGCATTTGATATAGATAGATAGATAGATAGATAGATAGATAGATAGATAGATAGATAGATAGATAGA